AAAAAAAAAAAAAAAAAAGTAACAGGAGAAGCAGATATGGCTTTTAAGACTCAGAGGCACCGAGAGAGATGAGGAGAAAACGGGCCCATTTCAGAGTCACTTCTCTGACTGCAAGTAGTAAGTGATGGACATAGCATGTAAAACTTCTTTGCACTGTTACAAAAAAATCCTGGTTTTGATTTTTTTATAGCTGTTTCTAAAAAGTCTGTGTTATCAGAATATGGCACACTATGTACACTGAAATCTACAAGGACTGTGCTTCCTTTCAATGTCAATGCTCCCTACACAGATACTATTTTCCAAAATGGGAAGAAGCCTTTGACTATAAGCTCTGTTCTTTTCTCAGTTTCTCCAGTTGTTTATAGAGTGGCCTCACTCCTTTATTACGCTGAAGACTTTAGCCAATCACAGTTGTCTTCTTGATGTTTCCCTAAGTGATTTTATACAAAGGCAAAACTTCAAAATCAAGGCCCTAAAATGTTACCACTTAAGTGGTAAACTGAATGCACCATAGTTGGCATTTCCAGTTTGGCACAGGACAGATTTGGAAAGATCTGACACTACCAGTGAAAAATAATATCGGTTAAAAGCTACCAGTATACTGTCATGTTCTGACTGTGAGAGAAAGAGACGGAGAGTGGTCAGTCAACAATGAATTTACTCATCATCTAGTTTGGCCTCCAGCCACAGAAAAGAGAGGGACATGGATCTGGTCCAGAATTTTGCAGAGTTCAATGGGAAACAACAGTTCAATGTCACACATTTTGAAATACGCTGACCTAGATGCAGGGAGTCGATGCCATTCTGAAGAGGCTGTCCTCCTCCAGGAGCACCTTTCCTTTCTAATTAAGGTGCTTTCGGTTATCAAAATGCCAATGGCAGCATTTGTTTTGCTTTTGCAGTTCACTAGTATGCTGCTGCTTGATGAAAAGTTCCTTGAGGAATTCATTGGTATACAAAGTCACTTTCTAAAAATCTCAATTTTTTTTAAAACATGAAGCAACTGTCCAGTCTCCCAATCAAATAATGATGATTAACAGTGGCTTGAACAGAGTCAAATTTTCTTCAAGTCAGAACATTCTAATCTGACTCTTTTCCAATCTCTCTTCCCAGGCAGTGATTTACAGTAGCGGGGGAGAGAAGACGTCAAGGCGCCTAGAGATAAGGCTCAGTGATGTACTGTGCTCAGTCAGCAATACTGGTGTGAACGGGGCCTGGCCTCCAGAGAGTAGAAACTTGGCGACACAAAGGTTTTCCAAGGCCAAAACTACTCATTTATATGACAACAGTATGATACAGCATGGGCCTAAGATTTAAATGGTGTATGTTCCGAAAGCAGGAACAGGAACAAAATAAATGTTTCCACATATATAAAAATGACAAAGTAAAAAGCAGAGGACACAGTGAAGTGTGTCTAGCAGTTCATTAAAATACAGTTGTTAATATTCCTATCATCTCAAAGATAATATTTATATTATCAGAATGGAAAAGAATGAAAATATAACTGGGAGAATTACTTTTTATCTCATTACTCACATGTAAATAATTACTGATGCTCTTTTAAAAAGTGTGCTTTTCAAAAAAATAAAATAAAGATAAAATATTTTAAAATTTTTATCTTTTAAAAACCCAAAAAAAGTAACAAATTCTCAATACTGATGTTGAACTGGCTATCACAAGAGCAACACTACCTTTGGTCACTCACTAAGACAGATGAGACACAAGCACTCTGGTTAAGTGTTCTGACTTTTTTTGACTGAAGTATGTCAAGTTAACATTTTACAGTAATAAATATGATTTAATGAAGTACATGAAAATAAAAAACTCAAAAATTTTAAAGTAAAATGATCACTGCATGAGATAGAAAAATAAACATTTATAAAATAAAAATATGGCAAATGATGTTGCCCATTTGCCTAAATTGATATAAAAAGACAACTGTATTTTTTTAAAGTTACTATTAAGAAAACTTTAAAAATGAAGAAAATCACAGGGCAGATAAAGAAAAATACAGCATTACTCTAAGTCAATAGGCTTAATAAGATAGTAAACTATCTGTAATTGGCATAAGGCTGGACTTTCATTTGTCTCCTCTTCTTTAAATGAAGAAATATTCATTTCATCATAACTGTGCAAACTGCTATTTTTTCCTTTCCTCCATTTTTCTGAAAGGTTTTCCTTAAGGTTTTGTTATCACTTGCCCAGAATTTAACTCTCGGGTGCCTTTTACTCAAGTTTATAAAACTCAAGGAATTCTCAAAATGAGAGATCCACATGCACCGTGAGACTCTGTTCTAAACATATTTCTGAATATTGCCCAATTTTAAAGATAGTCTGGACAGATAAGGCAAAAAGAAGGCAGCTGTAGTGAGAGGGTGGACAACTAAAATCTTTTTCTCTAGTCACCTGTATATTTCTTTCCCAAACACCGTAATGAAATGCCAGAAATGTCAAATTTGTACAAGGAAAAAGAATAGCAAATAAAACTGAAGGAATACACAATATATATCTTGACTGCCAATTGCCATATGTGTTAACTAAAGAGTATGGGCAATAAGCAATTCCATGAGTTAACAGCTAGAAATGATTTTGAATTTCTTGAATCCGGGCTAAGGGAACTCAATGCCCACTAACAAATGTGCAGAACCAAACAGATAAAGAACCATGTTGTCTAATTCTACAAGAAGGACACCAACAAATACTTGAATGGCTTTTAAGCAAGAGGAAAATTTTTATCTATAGCCAGAGAAATCAATAGCATCTTTACTTACACAATCATATTCTCTTGGCTCTACATGTAAATACAAAATGAGATTAAAAGTATTCCATTTTTAGTTAGAAGTCTTTCCAATGATTACTAATTCATGGCCCATTAATCGGGGTCTTCAGAAAGCTTGGCTACTACAGAGCAATGGCACCGTAAGTGTAACAAAGAATGGCTGGTATCCAGGTCAATTTTCCTGAGGACTTACAAAGATGTGCAGCCACTGTGGTCCATGTATTCAGAACAACATATTTCATCTGCTCCACATGTCTCTTTTTAAAATACTTATTGGTTGTAATTTTTTTTCCCTGAAAAGAATACAAAAACAAATGTCCTGCCCTTCAAAATAATTAATATACAGCAGTGCACCAAAAGCGCTACTTCTTATATTCTTGTACTCTGTAGCCAAATGTTACATTTTACTTGGATTACTCATTCTCCACAGAATTTAACTGCTAACTAAACCTAGTCCCTAGATGCCCATACTCCATAACTAACAAAACGGCACTTTGCAGAGCTCCTGGATACTCTATACCAAGAAGTAATGTAGCACAAAGGTGGCAAATATTCGGAAGCTATGTTTTCTTATGCTGCCCTCATGATCAGAATAGCCAGAACACTGAAATGAATTGAAATTATTTATAGTGAGAAAAACACTGGAAAATAAACCCCAGGAATGCAATCACAGCAGAAAAATAATGTGGAATGCATTCTGTGTCATCCAGTAAGATCTGCTACAATGAGTCCGTTTCAAGGCAGATTCCCAAGTTGTTACTGCTTGTAATGGAAACCTGGAGGGGAGAGAAAAAGGAAACACAGCTAAGGAGAAGAATCTCCGAAACTCAGTTTTTTCCCCTTGCTTAGCCAAGATGATTTATCCTTATTTCTGAGTATTTCCAGTGGTTCCTCTTTACTTTGGCCTTGATTTTAAAATATTTATATATAAAGTAAAAGTGTTATTGTAATATCATATATTAAATATATGTTGGGGACAGTAATACAGCCCCCAAAATGGATGCATGCACAATTTGAGAAAGCAATTTTCGGTTAAATCATGGATGGTAAAAATTCCAGCAATTGATGGAAACTGTGATGAGTGAGCAGTTTTGATAATGACATTTATAATGCCCAACTAGCTTTATCTTTTAAATAATGTCTTTGTCTTATTCTCAAATTGGCTGAGTGTCACAAATGGAGGAAGGGAAGCTTTCCAAAAATTCGAATGTCTGACATTCTGTACCCAGATATTCTGATCTAAGTAGCAAGAAATGCTATCTATGCCATGGCATTTTTTTTTTCTTTTAATGCTGTGGTATTTTTAAAGGAGCGTTAAAGGGTAATTTAAAGAAATCTGGGGAAACTACCACTAGCTCTGGAAAAGCATAATAAAAATATTAACTAAAAAACTCAGAAATTGTAACAATTGTAGGCTTCATGAATTAATGAGACCCAAAGTTTGTAAAACATGCAATCTGCAAATTTATTTGACATATTTTATTTTATATGATCTTGACACTTCTGGATCAAATGTTTAGATTGCTTCCATTCTGAAGTATGTTGATATAATTAATTTTTATTTCATTTTAAAATTCTAACAACAAATGTATATAATCTGTGTCCTTGAAGGAGCAGACACATCTAGCTATTCCGTCCACTTTAAAGTGTTACTTCAGTGTAGACACCCATATTAAATATGAAAGATATGAGGTCTCTCCTAGGAGGAAAATGTAAGTGGATAAAAAACATTTTATATTCAATTTAAAGTTGCTTCTTAGCTTTTGTTTTTGCATTTGAATAAATAAAGAACAATATAATGGTAAGGCATGGTGGGAATGCCTGTAAACTCAGCACTAAAGGTCGACGCAGCAGGATCACAAGCTCCAGCCCAACCTCAGCAACTTAGCAAAACCGTATCTCCACAACACAAAGAGAGAAGGCCTGGGTTCAATTCCTGGTGGGGGCTGGGGATGGGGGGACACAATAACAATGTAATGATGTACGGAGAGGAAGAAAACTTAGTATTCCACCCTAGTGGTCAGAAGACAGTATCTGATTTTCCACCAAAACATAAGGCTTATAAAGAGGTCTAAAACTTTATTATTCACACTCTTCTTACCTTTATGAGAGGATTCTGATTTTGAATAATGACGTGTAGAACTATGCTGGTTTGTAAAGTAAGTGCCATCCAGATCCTCAGCTTCTGTTGTGACAGGTGGTGGCGGCCTGAGGGAAGTCAGAATTTAAAGAGATCCCTACATGATATAATTCCACCTCTCACTGGATGGATTGCATGGTAAATATATTTTCTGTAGAAATGAACAGCCAAAATGCTTTTCAATTCTTCTGGACAGTTGCATGATCCTGAATACATTATTTTACACTACTATCCCTTTGTTTTGATATATAAGACTCAACCTAAATAGTGTGGGCCACTATGCAAGAGAAACAAAGATGAATACGGTATAACTGGTGCCACTTATAAGAAAGTTACTTTGTTTTAGCAGCTTTTACCAAGAAAAAAGAGGAAGAAATAAAAGTATAGAAGAAAATGACAAAGTTAAGGACAAAGAAAAGAGAAAAAGGAGGAAGGAAGGCGGAAAGGCAGGCAAAGAGCCAGGGAGAGATGTAAGGAGGTTTGATACACACAGTCATGAGCACAGCTCCTGGCAAAGCAGATCTTAATAAATTTGTAACTTGCCATGGAACGCATCTGCAATTTTTATGCCAAAATGGATCAAAAAATTAGGAAGTTTTTATTACTAAAAACTTTCATTAACTACTTAAGATGTATTTTGAAACATTTGGCATAGATAAAGAAAATATCTATTGGTTTTTTTCCCAACAATATATTCAAAATTTGCCTTAAAGCATGGAATCAGATGAGGTTAAGATTTCTGAACTATATAATCATGTAGGACATTCTGTGTATTTATAACATGCACCTATTTGGAGGTTTGTACAGTTATACTCAGTTTGGTACAGTGGGTTACATGATACATAAATAAAGGCGTGCGTATTCACATTTCTCACCCTGCCCTTCTAAGTATCTCCCTGAGTGTGCAACTCCCGGGACAGCAGCAAGTCCTGCACTGTAGGTTCTAAACAGATCATCTGGATTAACACTCCAGACAAATCTGTATGGCAGCTCTCATGAACACACTTTAGAGTTAGACTAGGTTAACAGATCTGTCCAAGTTCAGTTACTCAGTGGCACAGGCAGGACTCAAGAATGAAATGGATTAAAAAATTAGTGCACCGAACAATTACAGTTACATAAGTGTGTTTTCATCAGCACCATCTGTACACAACTGTGTATTTGTGTTTAGGTGTGTGTATGTATGTGTGTGTGTGTGTGTGTGTATATATATATATTTCATATGTATTTGTGCCTTTGAAATGTTTGAAAATCTATTTTTATTTTTTAGAAGAGACGCATGTTTTTATATTTTCACTTATCGTTATTTATACATATAATTAATGTGACCATAAGAAATGTGGCACATTTCTCTTCTCTTGGAACCATTTGCTTAAAAATATTAGAAGTTAAATAAAAATAGTTATTCTTTATTATTTACTGATACAACATTTTTAAAAAGTAGCAGAAGACGTGGTAAAAAGAATTGAGACCAAACAATCCGACTGGAGGATTAAGGAATTTAGCCTCACAAAGCGGGTGGCCACCAAGGTGACTTGGCCCAAGTAAGAAGAGTTAGCAATCACTGCATGGACTGTATTCTTCACTCTTTCGTCACCTTCACCAGGTGATCAAAACACTCTACTGGGAGATCAAAGCTAAGTGGGAATCGCAAAAAACTTCACGACATCGCCTCAGCATGAACTCATCATCAAGGAAAAGGGTTCTAAAGCTGCAGAACAGAGCACGGATGCCACCAGTCCTCCAGGATTGCCATGCTAGAATAAACAAATCACTCTAGAATTGTCTCAGCTCTCCTTGTGTGTTACATTCAGTTTTTGGCTGCACAGAGAACAAATGGTGGTTTACTGTTTCCAGAGGTTCTCCCAAATTATTCTGTTGCAAGATGGTTGTTTCAAAGTTAAGGGTATTTATAGCCAAAGCTAGAAAAAACTCTTATGAAACAACAGTTGATTGCACAGTGTTTTGTTTTGTTTTTAAAAACAGGATTATTGCTTCCTGTTTTCATGAAAAAATTAGCATCTTCAAATAGGTGATGTACTAAATACCTTTTAGAATTCACTTCAAAGGTCACTTCTTTAAGGAACCCACCTAGACTCCTCATGCTCTTACACTCCCTATGCTTCTTATTCACAGCACTTAACATAATAAGTTATTTGGTAATTATTTGTTTAGACTATAAACTTCATGACAGCAGAACAATTTAGTCTTGTGGGCTGCTGCTTACCATAGCTCTGGGTAATTATTGGGGATCTCAATAAGTATTTGATAAATGATTAGATGGAGATCAAATGTAATTCACAGTCATAAGAATGTGCTGGAAACTAAGTAAGACTTGGAAGACCTTTAGGTTTTTATTTTTTTCTTTCCATTTTTAAAGACAGCGTCCTGATAAGTCACTAAATTGCCTAGGCTGGACTTGAACTTGTGATCCTCTTGCCTCAGCTTCTCAGAGTGCTGGAATTGCAGGCTGGCTAGATGTTCAGGTTTTTCTAAGGTAAAAATGCAAGTAAAATCCCACCTAGTATCACCAGCATTAAAATTCTGTTGTTAAAAGAATCTAGAACTTGGGTTAACTTTTTCCAACTAGAGTTACAATTAATTCAGACTCCTGGGGTTCTCTATTTCTTTAGAGAGGAAAGAAAACTTTGTAATGAACAAAGAAATAGTTTCTCTTTTATTACTACTATTACTACCCTGAAGTAATAAGCATCTTGACCTATGAAGGTTCATGTTTTTCAATCTCTAAAACCAACTCTTTCTATACAGATAACTAAAATTTTCCCTCATGATTAAATCTAAAGGAGGAAATCATAGATTCTAACCCAAAAGCATACATTTGGAGTAGAAGATGTTTTAAGTATGAAAATAAATGTTTCATAAAATTCTTACTCATTTTTGTTTTGCCATATATACAATCTTTCAGGAAATGATATTTAAAGACAAGTATTTTTCTTAGGTAAAAAAGATTTAAATTCTAGTAGCCATAAGTCACTTTCCACTAATTTAGAACAGTCATTTTTAATACAGGAATTATTAATTCTTTCAATATGCCAAATACTTTTAGAGTACCTATTTGCATTCCTAGATTGCTTTATCATATCTGCTGCAAAAGTTAGGAGTGTTCTTAAGGTCAAGGACTTTGAAGAACAAAATCAAAACAACCCTAAAAATTATGCGAATTTCTTGGATTTAAAAGAGAGATGACAGTCTAGATACATTTTCCTACTAAGAACAGATTTCCTATTTTACTTGGGGATGTACTAACCCATATAATTCTAAAACATGACTTAAAAAAATGTGTGATACATGCATACAACACAAAAGCTACAAGAGCAACAGATTTTATATAATTATATAATTAGGAAAATACAAGGTGATGTCATTCTCTGAAAGCATATGACTTTAAAAACAGACGATGGCTTTTTTAAAGATACCAAATACATTCATTTGCAGGAAGCAAGTCTAGCAGCTTAAGTGTGGGTAATAAGTAACAAAGCGTCAAATTTTTCAGTATTACAGAACTTACGTTTTAGTAATTTTAACGAATAATCAATTTTCAAAATATCAGATTTACTGTTACTTTTGTCTATTTCCTTAAATTAACTTACACATGAAAACATAAAAACTACTTAGTTAAGAGAGTGCCATGATGTGTCAGCACCTGTATGTGCGGGTAATGTCTGAATAAGATTAAGCACACCTGTCTCCTCAAACATTTACCACTTTTTTATAGCAAAAGTTTTCAACATACTTTCTCCTCGCTTTCTGAAATACACAGCTCATTCCTGTTATCCACATTCACCCTCCTGTGCAAGAGCCAAGCGCACCCCAGAATTCCTCCCCACTTCACTCTAAACCCATGGGCCACCCCCGCCACAGACCCTAGGCTTCTTTTCTTGTTTCATGCCATCGTTTCATATCCCAATCACATATTCTGTTGAGAGGTCACAAAACAAAATAAAAAAGTAGAAACAGAGGTCGCTCCCCACAGACTTAAATGATGCCAACTGGAACTGCAGAGCGAGCCGTCAGGAGGTACCTTTGCTCCAGTGACACTCAAGAGTCCGCAGTGACCCACATTTGCCCAGGGTGTGGAGCCTCAGAAGCGAGTCCCAGCACATCTAAAAGCCAGGCCTACACCAGTGTGAGCAGGAAGAAATCCAGTGAAAATGAAAAGCCTGAAATTTTAGTTAGGAAAACAGTTAATGTCATCTCTCGCCATCTGAAGGTATAAATTCTGTGAAGGCAGAATTTAAGAATTAACTATTAAAAGCATGTTAAAAAAAAAAACAACAAAAAGCATGTCCTTTCTAATTTCTACAAGGTAGGCCTTATTTGACTTGCATAATCCAGTCGAACGCTGGAAAGAAAAGTTTCAGAATAGCACTGTGAGACCTGACAGCACCTGACAACTGCAGCTTTCTGGAGCTCAGCCTTGACAAGCAAGGGCGCCGGCTTACTCTGCCCAAGCCGCCCTGCTCACCCACAGCCCAGGGCCAGCTTACCGTGCTGGTCTGTCGGTCTTCCAACGGTGAGCCTCATCGCTTTCTTGGAATTTGGAGTGTGCTGGTTTAGCTGTTTTTGACTATGGATAGAAAAACAAAATGCACACACATAAAAAAATCAAAGAAAGTAGGGAAAGATGAGGCTTAGAAAATGAGGATACCATGTCAAACTTCTTCAGTAATTTCAGGTTATTTACATTTAGTTGAGCAATATAAAATGTTCCTATACATGCCCATTCAGATGTTAAAAAATTATAGCCACTTTTCTGATTTTCAATACATAAAATACTACCCTTCCCTAGTTAAGAAATATGATTAACTTTGGATTATTCTGTGTAGCAGAAGCATCTGGAAATCCTTAACTAAACTATTAGAAAGAAAATCTTGAGTTGCTAAGAGGGTAAGGAAGTACTAAATAAATAAAATAATATAAAATAACATTCACACTTTTTTTTCTGGTACCAGGGTTTAAACTCAGGACCTTGTGCTTGCAAGGCAGGCGCAGTACCACTAAGCACTGGCCCTTGCACTTGTTTTAAGACCAACAACTGGGTAAATGAAAAGAGGAAACAGTAGAGCAATACTACTAGTACGGTTTCCATGTATTCTATTGCTTCATAACCATCACAACCATTACAGAGACTGTGAAGTGGGAATAAAGGCCTAAGACACGAATTTTGCGGGGGAAAACGTGCTGAAGATCAACTGTACCATGGATACACATCCCAGGATGCATGCTTACAAATCTAACACAAATGCTCTCCCTTAAGAGCCTCTATAGGATGAATTCTTTTTCCACCTCTGCTCTCCCATCCATCTTGGGCTTGTATTTCTTAGCTGCCTATAACTTCTCTTACTCTATATTATATACCATTATTCAAAAAGCAATACTTTTGTCTTTCCATGTAGGTCAAGAGTGGTGGCTTGCAGACAGTCACTGATAGTCTCTCAAACTGAACTGACAACAGATTATTTTACAACTACAGTTACTACCCACTTTGAAAACCACTTCTGACGAACAGTCTGAGCCCATGGTTGAGTCCTTACACTGTGACATAGTATGAGCCAGTGACAGGTATGCATCTGTCAGTCTCCCATACAGCAAAGGGAGGAGGCAGAGGGACATGTTAACCATGAAGGATAACACAAGCACAAAGAGAAAGCAGACAGAGAAAGCAGATCACTGTGAAAAATCTGAAAGCAAGTGGAAATACTGTACTCTCCTGCAATGTAAATGTACGCAAACTTAAGATTACTGATGACCAGAAGAAGTACCTTATCTCAGGTGGTCTTAAAATGAAAAGAATGAGTTTTGTACTCTAACAACAATTTTCTGCAGTTTTCAAAAATTAAATGATTTTCATAATAAAAAAAACTTTATATACATTAGATGAGCATACATAATACACATAATTTGGGTAGCCTAAATACATTTTAGAATTTAAACTAAAAGGAGAGTCCTCTTCTTATATTTGTTTCTAAATAAAAACCAGAAAACACATTCTACCTTCCAGTCGGGGTCATGCTTTTTGTCTGAAGATGTCTTCTCCCGCTCTTTGGCTTTCTTGTAAGCTTTCTTTTCTTCAGCCATTAGAAGTCGAGCAATTTCCTAGTAAGATCAAGTCACTATTATTAACTGCAGACTCACTTGCAGGTGGAAAAGTACTAAAATATTTCCAAAGCTTATCAGCTAAACTCACTAGCATGAACTTACCTCATCCTGGGCTACTTGGGCAGCTCTCATATCCTCCTGGGTGGCCTGTGGGAAAAGACCACAGAGGAGAGTCACTCAACTGAAAACCACACTGCCACTTTAACAATCTTTAGTAAAGTAAACTGGTACTTGAAACTACAGCACTAAAGCTGAAAATCAGTTGGTTTCATTTACTCGCCAGAGCAAAGACTCTTTTGATCAAATTCTAAAGTAGGTCCTAAAGAAAATCACCAGAAATAAATAATGGCAAGATAGGTGTGTGGAGTTTCATTATGAATGCTTACTCAGTAAGTAAAAATCGATAGAAAAGTCTAACTTTATCCACTTAGAATATGCTCTAACATCCTCAATAGAAACCGAAAGTGTGGATAGTACCAAACTCTACATATACTATGTTTTTTTATCAATACATAACCAGGACAAACAGATTCACAGAGAGTTTAATAATAAAAACACAAGAACAATTCTTTAACAACATGCTGTTATAAAACCTGTGAAGTGCTGTTCCTGCCTGGAACCTATTTCATTTTTTGGACTGAGTTTGACTCTGGTTAACTAGAACCACTGACAGGGTAGTAAGGATAAGGGAGGGCTGCTGTGCTCTGGTCCCTCATTTTTTTTTTCTGCTACCAGCTCATCAACTGCTAGAGAATGACAACACATATGACATGATCCTAGGCTGATTCAATTCATAAAAATACTATTCATTCACTGAACTTCTGCCATAAAATGTACTCACCAAAATTTCTTCTTCTTGCAGTTTTCTGGCAATTTCAGCATCATACCATTCCTGATCTCTGTGGGTCACTCGTGATGGAGCACACACAGCTTCTTTTGTCACCCTCGGTTTTGTTCCTGGGGGGAAAAGTCAGGCAACTCAGGTTGTTTTCTGAAAAATGTATGTGAGAAGTTTTTGTTTAGTATCTAACACTTGTTGAAACTGCTTCCGTGCTGGAATTCAGTGAGGGTGGTCTGAAACATAGTTTTCCCCTAGGAGTGGAAGAGGCAGTGCAGATAAGCCATATATTTTAACAGTCACCAGCCCAAACCTGCCTGGTAAAAACTCCCTCTCACATAATTTCTTCAACAGCAGAAACTCATGCTAAGAACTGCAAGTGAAGCCTTCACAAAATAGGAAGTAGAAAACAAGTCACTGAAGATAAAAGTAATTTAAAGAAAAGAAGTTTACAGAATCATAATGTCAAAGAGGCTAAGCTGACAAGACTGGAGACGAGAGGCTCCCTCCTAGTTCCGAAGCCTCCTTATCCTACCGTAGAAAAGAGGGAATCATCATCCACGAAGTATGCAGAAATACCCACCAGCAAACCAGGGCTCTGCCACAGCTTCCGCTCTAATGCTAAACTCACTCGCTTTCGAGCTTTCTCACAGCTATGATCCATCCTTTAAGTCATTATTAAGTTTCAGAGAAGACCACATCAGGGATGTTTCAGAGAGCACAGTGACTTTAGAACTCTATTCCACTGCACACAAAGGAACATGGGGGACTGGTGGCAATTCTGGCTTTTTACTTTGAATATTATGAACAGCACATATTTCTTTTGTAACTTTCAATTAAAGCAAATGTCGTTATTTCAAAATCGTGGAAACGTATTTCCCTTTTTCATAAATGTGATTACTCAGCACTACAAATGTATTATACTCAGGAATAATAAATAAAAGCCTTGAATGCAGTGAACAAGACCAGCCAGCTAAAGCAGTGATTTTTAAGCCACTGAGCCACCGAGAGAAGAAAGAAACTGTCTTCTGATTTCCCACCTCTTCCTACTGCACCCTGCTGGTCAACCACGGCCACTTCTTAAAATCATTTGGGGTAAAGAACTACAATAGTATTTGTCCCAACCTCTAGAGACTCTCATTTGAAGAACCTGGGTGAGTCCTGGCCTTGCTTGACTCTTTTCAGTTAGCTGATTCTCACTTGCAAGTAACAATCAAACCACAAGTTCAGTAAATTATGTCCACCAATAACTATACGTTATAATGGTTTCCATTAAAATGCCTTACCATACACAGAAAGAAAATTATATTTAGAGGGCCAGGGATTTAACTCAGTGGTGCCGCCACCTGCCTCACAAGCACAAGGTCATAAATACGATCCCCAGTACCAAAAAAAAAAGAAAGAAAGAAAACTACATTTAGAGACTTTATATATATATATATATATATATAT